TATGCGTTCTATCAGGATAATTCCAGCATCCCTTTAAATACAATTATACGTTCTCTAAATAAATAGTGTGTGCATTTAATCGAAAGTGCTCTCAATGCTTGTTTTCTAATTGGAGAGTTTATTTGCGGAATTCCGACGTGTGGTAATCGCTCTTCTGTTATAAATATTAAATCTTGATTGTACAAAGATGATCGAGTCAGCCACACGCGCGCGTCTAATATCCATTTGTTAGGCAAACGAAAGTAACAATCATGTGCAGTTTCCTATTAGAAATCAAGCGCAACTCCTTCCCAAAACATGTTCATCTCTTTCTCTCTGTCTCGATCCGATAACTCATATTTGTACTTATCCCTCACCCCGCATCGTCGTTCGATCAATCGCATCATTCGTAGATAATGGTAAGCGAGTTGCACGCAAAAGAAGAGACCATTATTTTATCTTGAAAATGTAACAATTGTATATTTCTTTCAACTTAATAATTAATTTACACTCGATGACGTGTTGTATTCTCTAAATCCTCACTAGAAATCTATTGCGATCTGCGTTTAACTCTGGATTCCTTCTGAAACAACATTTAAGGATAAGTTTGAATAAACGCTAAACGACAAAATTGTGATTACAATTAATAAGTTAATTTCTCTGTATCTGTTTACAGAATCCGTCTTTAGTCAGAAGCCTGTCAAGTAGCAGAAGTAATCCAAAGGTTAAGCCAGCGAATAATATTAATACAAATTGCAACAATATACATATATAATATTATTATACAATTCTATGTAACATGTATTGTTAAATTTACATAATTATTATACAACAATATCATAATTATCTTTCAGATTATAATTATATAAGTTATAATTATTATAACTTATATATATTATACGATATCGAATTGCAATAATTATAATATTATATATACTGTAATATATGTATAATATATGTATATTATAAATAATTATACACATATAATTATACATAGTACATACATGTTATATATATTACATTTAAATTATATAATATGTATATAACATTATTATAATTATTGTAATTTGATAAGAACAAGAAGCGTTTTTAGCATTCGAAAAATATATACATATATGTACAATATATACGACGTATATACATTATATACGTATTCGATTCGGCTTAAATTCTCATATGCAGAGCCATAGATGATGTCGAATGTAAATATCGAAAAGAGTTCTTGCTGCTCTTTTATTATGTTATATATAAAAGTATTTAAAAGAGGCTTATATATATACACCTATGCATATTTTATTCTCAAAACACGTAACACGGAAGCAATATCCGTATCAGTCACTAAATTTTATTTTAATTAAGGCGGCTCCAGGCGACATGGCCAATATACGCTAACTCCACACACATACGTTAAATATTGGCTTACACTCATGCAGATAATTATACGCTCGTGTGCGCGTATGTAATATTTACTAATGCGGAGTACACTGGCGTATATTGACTATATCGTCTAGAATCGTCTTTATTCGTATAGAATGTCATAAATTTTTACTTCCGATAATTCATTATTGCAATCTTTCGCACGTTCTAAATGATTAAAATAAAAAAAAAAGAATACGAAAAAAATACATAAAAGCATGATGTAACAATACAAGATATGCCATTGTGTATAATGGCGGCTATATATATTTGGGCTTATTTCTGATTGATGACAAATTTCTAATAGCGGTTTTATATTGGCTTACAGAATTTGGAACTAATTTTTAATTCA